GCACGGTGGCACACGAAAATAGACGCTTAATAAATGCTTGTTGACAAGATGACCGTGATCAAACACCTTGTGCAGATAGGAGAGCTTATGCTGAAAAGTTAAGCAACTCAGCCAATATCTCACGGTGTGCCAATCAGAAGAGAAGCCAAGGCAGAAGGTTTACCCTATGTTGCCTCCAAACAAAGATTTTGCAAACAGGGCAAGAATTTGAATAAGAGTTTATTTTCTTCCTGTACTTTGACCCAATCTTAAGAAGAGTTGGGAAATTCAGGGCATGGCTTTTCAACTGATTGGTTTCCTAGATTGCCAGAGAAATGTAAGTCCCACTATTTCTTCTTAATCATAAGACATGAAACATTGTCACCAACAGGCACAAAAAGTGGAGTTCTGCACTTAAATTCCACTTAACAGTGGAAGTGGACTGAACTATTACGGCTTCTTGCATTATTTCTGGGTTGGGGGAAAGGGAATATAAAGGGGACATCAAGCCTGAGAATTGCTTATGAAACTAGTGACAGCAACTCTCCCTTACCAATGAAAGTAAAGGATAGGAATGACCTGAAAAAGTAAAGGTACATGGTTTGAAAACCTCCACAGTTGTTATCAACCCATCTTCAACCAAACGTTTTACTATATTCCAAAGTTCTAAATGCCAGTTTTTCTTGGATGTCACTGGTTTCCTAATATTCCAGGAAGGACTCATATAGAGAAGGAGAAATGAAGGGTCCTGATCCGCTGCAAGCCTGATAAACTATTTGTGCAATAATATTAAATCAGGTAGATGAAATTCTGACAAAGGGTAGGTCAGTCATCAACATGAAAACATTTGGGCATGAGGTTGGGCTGCCATCTTGGAGGCCTGTGTCACGCCTGCTTTTGGAGAGTGTGTCACCAACCTGCTTGATCTGTAGGTGGCGCCTGTGTGCACCTCATGGTGGGTGCATATGACATCACAAGGGAAGCTAACAGAGGGCTCGGTTCTTCTCAAAATCACATTTATTTTAAGTCAGTGATAACTAGTTTCTAAATACCTTATGTTCTCCATTCAGGCATGATCCTCAGCTCCTTCCATTATCACAATGGCATCCTATCCTAATTATCTCTTGAATGTGACCTTTGCCTAGTCCAGGATACTTACCTGTCATTTCCCACCTAGACCATCATGGGCCAGATTCTTAACTGATTTCCCTCCATCTACTCTCCCACCTTAACGCCCTGCCACACTGCAACCATCAGCATTGCTTAAAGACACGAATAAGTCCAAGTCAATTGCCGGCTTCACATACTTCAGAGGTTTCCCATTGCCTTGAAATCCATACTTCATCTCTTCATGCTTCTCTCTCCAGCTTTTCCCTTCACTATTCTCTATCTCATACTCCCCTTTGTCAGCATAAATGTCAAACTTTATGAACTGACAACAGTCTACTTTTTCAGCTCCAGCTCCTACCACTCTCTTGTTTACCATATATATCCAGGCAAACACTCGCCTGGCAAATGCTCTCTCTCTCAAGACTCAGCTCAAATGACACTTCTCCTGACACTACCAGTGACACCACCCTTTCCTAGGTCAGACTAGTACAATAGACATGTCTAGATTATTGCATGGACCACATTGTATAGAGTCCACTGTCTATATGTCTGCCTCCTCAGTGGACTCTAAGGTAATAATCTTCAATCTGCTCAGGATTTTAGTTTCTTATCAAGCATAAGCACTGCTCTTACACCTGGAATAAAGGAGGTTTCATGCTTCAGAGACCCCACTCGGGCCCCTCTCCGGCAGTGTCCCTCCACATGAGGTGAGAAGTCTGTGGGACCAACAAGATAGGCCTTCCTGGATTCCATGTCTACCCAGATCCCATACTTCCTGCTTCCAGACCATGCTCTGCTCACCCAGATCCCAAGGATTCCCAGTCCAAATGGCCTGACTGTCCTTTGGGGGGCTGCCCAGGTCTTTTCCCTAGATCTGTCCTTCAGAGAAGGGACCAAGAGGGTGTGTGCTCACTCCTAGATCCAAGGAGTGGCCAAGACTGGCTATTTGTAGAGTCATATGGACAGAGCTTGTATAAACAGGTTAGATTGTCCACAGGTATTCAGGCCAGGTGTCCAGTGATACTGGTCAGAGCAGGAGAAGGCAGGCTGAGATCTGGGGCCTGGGACCTCAAGGAATTGAAGAGTTCTAACATTGAACCTGTCCTTCTAGGTAGTCATGAAGCAATATTTATCATGGTGAGAAGGTGGATCATATTTTGTCATTAGCAGCCTTGAAATATTTAGGCATGTGTCACGTGAGCCCCCATTTGTACTCTAGCCTGGACCTCTACAAATGCCGGGAGGCTGGTGTCTTGTCTAACACAGTGCAGGGCATGTAGGAGATTCACAATGTATGACTGAGGATTAACTCAAAGCAAAAGGGTGTGGAATAATGAGACTCAAGGGAAATAACTCTGCAGCATTTGAGTAAGAGAAAGTAATAGAAGATATGAATTATAATTGAATTACCAAACTAGCTAATATACTTCCTAAAAAGGTTTATATTCAAAGGGCAAAGTTTAAACATTCTGGCTAGGAAGATGTTATTTACCAAATTAATGGTCAATTTTTTAAAGCCTCACTTGAATTTTCCAGCATTCTTTATGTTTCCAAAACACAACACTAATCTATAAAACACTCCACAGATGGGCGAAGAATGAAGTCAAAAAAACCATCAGTCATGTAGCAAAAGCTCAACTGTGAGGGTTACACTCCACCCAGAGAGGAAGAATTAATAAAAACTAGCAACAAAATTTCTTGGAACCAGCATTTCAGGTCTCTGTCACTTCAAATGATTCCTTTATCCATCATAGGTAGATAAAATCAGTACTGTGAAGAGGAGGAACATTTGTCTTTCAGGTAGAACCTTGAAAACTAAGGTCTTGCTTGTCACAGAGATGCTGATTTCAAGGAACAGAGGTGTTTTAACCTTTTGTCAGGTGTAAGAATCAATGGCTCATCATATTGAGTAACGAAGACTTCTTATCTCTTATCTCTTTTCTAAAGATAACACTTTTATTGTCACATAAATGTGTGTTGCTAGCAAAGGTAAAAAACATTTCAGGCTAAAATATGTATTCAAATAAGCTTATATGTGTATGCACGTATATACGTATGGGAAGAGAGAGAGAGAGAGAATCTATTTAATCTGGAAAATCAACTAAGAAACATCTATTGAGTAACTTCTCTATACCCAGCATTTGCCACAGTATGCTAAGCATAAAAGGAGAAAAAGATCAGGTCTTTAAAAAAATGAGATACCACGCTACACCTACCAGAATGGATAAAATCTGGAACACTGACAATACCAAATGTTGGTGAGCATGTAGAGCAAGAGAAACTCTCAGTCATTGCTGGTAGGAATGCAAAGGCACTTTGGAAGACAGTTGGGTGATTTATTACAAAGCTAAACATACTCTTGCCATATGATCCAGCAGTTGTGCTCCTTGGTATTTACCTAAATGATCTGAAAACTTACGTCCATACAAAAATTTGCTCATGGATGTTTACAGCAACTTTATTCATAACTGCCAAAACTTGGAAGCAACCAATATCCTTCAGCAGGCGAATGAATAAATAAACCGTGGGGCATCCAGACAGTGGAACATTATTCAGTGCTAAAAAGAAATGAGCTATTGAGCCATGAAAAGATGTGGAGGAAACTTCAATGCATGTCACTCAGTGGAAGAAGCCATCTGAAAAGGCTACAAACTCTATGATTCCAAATATATGACATTCTGAAAAAGGCAAAACTGTGGAGACAGTAAAAAGGCCAGTGGTTGCCAGGGGTTGGGGTAGGGATGGGATGAAAGTCAAGAGGATTTTTAGGGCAGTGAAACTACTCTGTATGATATTATAATGATGAACACATGTCAAAACTATGGAGCCAGTATAAAGATCAGTCAGTTATCATGGATTGAAGGAAGGGGAGGAGAGAGGAATACACAGAGCACAGAGCACAGAGGATTTTTAGGGCAGTGAAAATACTCTGTATGACACTGTAATGGTGGATATCATTATGTCATTATACATTTCATTACACATGTCATTATACATTTGTCCAAACCCACAGGATGTACAACACCAAGAACGAACTACAGTGTAAACTATGGCTTTTGGGCGACTGTGCCGTTTAAGTGTAGGTTCATAAGTTGTACCCCTCTGGTGGGGGATTTTGATAATAGAGGCTGCTATGCGTGTATGAGGGCAGAGATATATGGGAAATCTCTGTAACTTCTGCTCAATTTTGCTGTGAACCTGAAACTATGCTAAAAAACATTAAAGTCTTAAAATAAGAAAAAGAAGAAGAATGGCAAGGTCCTGTCCCCTGGGAAGTTTACAATATTTGACGGGAGTTGGGACTGGAGTGACAGGAGAAGTATTATGGGCATATGTTGGTGAGGGTGAGGTGCAGGGGATGGCCCAGATTTGTCAGTTACCTCCATGAATAGACATTGGGATTAGGTGTGTTATGTTGAAGTATCTCATTTAATTCTCACCAAACCAGTGCATGTAAATACTATCCCCATTTTCCAGATGAGGAAACTAATGTTTAGAAGAAGAGCTCAATGAAAGGGCAATCCAATTAAGCAGGTGCCAAGATAGCCATTTAAAAGGAACTTACAGGAATGGAAGTTGGTACGGCAACCATGGAAAACAGTAAAAATAAAACTACCACGTGATCCCAGCAATCCCACTTCTGGGTATATATTTGAAAGAAATGAAAACAGGAGAGCAAAGAAATATCTGCTTCCCCATGTTAACTGCAATGTTATTTGTAATAGCCAACGTATGGAAATAGCCTAAGTGTCCATCAATGGACCAATGGATAAAGATAAAGAAGATCCGATACACACACATGCAGGAGTATCATTCAGCCACGAGAAAGAAGGAAATCCTGCCACTTGCAACAACATGGATGGACTGGATGCTAAGTGAAGCCAGACAGAGAAAGACAAATACTGCATGCTATCACTTATATGTGGACTCTTAAGAAAACCAAACTCATAGAAATAGAAAAGTGATTGCCAGGGGCTGGGGAGTGGGAGAAATAGGGAAATATTGGTAAAAGTATACAGACTTTCAGCTCTAAGATGAATAAGGTCTGAGGAGCTAATGTATAAACATGTAGACTATGTAGATAACACTGTATTATATAATCTAAATTTGCTGAGAGTAGAATTTAAGTGCTCTCGCTAAAAAAAGATAGATATGTAAGGTGATGGATGTGTTTATAACTAGATGAGAGGAATCCTTACAATGTATATTATATCAAATTATTAGGAGGTACACTTTGTCAATTATACCTCAGTAAAGCTGAAAAAAATAAACTTGGCGAACAGCTGAATCAGATTGCTCATGTAATTCAACGATGTTGTCAAAGACGCAAGCAGTTTCCTCTCAATTCATCACAAGGTCTGCAAATGGAAAACATGGATGAGTTTCACAGGAATGATCAAGGGTTCAGACACAGTGATAACATGTATTATGCTCACCTAAGTGCTAGTAATGCCCCATATCAAGAAAAGATTTAAAAGTAGAAGCAAGCTAATGCTTATCTATAGCATCATCAACACTTCCTGCTTGTTTTGCTTTAAGTGTTGTTTTGTTCTGAAAAATGTTTCACATGTGCTTAAGAAGGATGTATATTTTCTAACTGCTGAGTGTAGGATCTGTATATGTGTCTGTTAGATCATGCATATTAATTATGTTGTTCAAATGCTCTCTATCTTTACTGAGTTCTTGACGCTTGACCTTCAAATAATTAAGAAAGATGTATGGAAATCACCTAGTGAATATAGTACATATGTAAATTTCTCCCTGTAGTCCTATCAATTTTGCTTTATATATTTTGAGTCTATTTTAGAATTATTAAGTCTAAGTGAGTTGAAAAAAGAAATAATAAAAGGAATGTAACAACCCACAGAATGGGAGAAAATACTTGCAAATGATGAGGCTGACAAGGGATTAATCTCCAAATTATAAAAACAGCTCATGTAGCTCAATATCAGAAAAAAAAACCCAATCAAAAAATGGGCAGATCTAAATAGACATTTCTCCAAAGAAGATATACAGATGGCCAAAAAGCACAGGAAAAGATGCTCAATATCGCTAGTTATTAGAGACTGCAGGTCAAAACTACAGTGAGGTATCACCTCACACCGGTCTGAATGCCCATCACCAAAAAGTCTAAAAACAATAAATGCTGGAGAGAGTGTGGCGAAAAGGGAATGCTCCTACACTGTTGGTGGGAATGTAAATTGATACAGCCACTATGGAGAACAGTATGGAGTTTCCTTAAAAAACTAAAAATACAGCTACCATATGATCCAGCAATCCCAGTTCTGGGCATATATCTGGAGAAAACCATAATTTGGAAAGATACATGCACCCCAGTGTTCATTGTGGCACTATTTACAATAGCCAAGACATGGAAACAACCTAAATGTCCCTCGACAGAGGAATGGATAAAGATGTGGTAAATATATACAATGGAGTATTGCTCAGCCATAAAAAAGAATGAAATAATGTCATTTGCAGCAACTTGGATGGACCTAGACATTATCATACTAAGTGAAGTAAGTCAGAGAAAGACAAATGTCATATGATATCACTTACATGTGGAATATTTTTTTAGGATGATACAAATGAATTTATTTACAAAGCAGAAACAGACTCACAGACCTCGAAAACAAACTTATGATCACCAAAGGGGAAAGGTGGGAGGGAGCAAAAAATTAGGAGTGTGGGATTAACATACACACACTACTATATATAAAGTAGATAAGCAACAAGGACCTCCTGTAGAGCACCGGGAACTCTACTCAATATTCTGTAATAACCTAAAGGGGAAAAGAATCTAAAAAAGAATAGATATGTGTACATGAGTAACTCAATCACTTTGCTGTACACCTGAAACTAACACAACATTGTAAATCAACTATACTCCAATATAAAATAAAAATTAAAGCAACAACAACAAGGAGTATAAACATTTTGAAACTATCAGGAATATGGTGTCTGTTAACTTAGAATTATTTTATCCCATGTTTTCTTAAATTCTGCCTTAGTGTATTAATCCCTCATTTAATTTAATTAAATAACAGGAAAATTTTACATATATAGCTTAAAATTTTCTTTACCACCTCACTCCTCACCAGACAGTCTGGTACTGAGCCCTGGTACTTTGGTTTGTTGAGTTTAAGGAAATCTTTACGTGCATTGAAACAGTGTTTGACATAACTGAAGATTTATATTACCCTGTGGAAGAAGGTTTTAAGTTTAGAGAGAGAAGCTGAGACAAAGAAATTACTCTGCTAAGAAGGGGAGAGAGATCTCAGGAAGTATAAGACCTGAGAATAGGGTGTCAAAGCTAGGAAGATTGAGTCTGTAAAGAGAAAGGGAGGGAGAGAAAAGAGACCTGGGATAGGGATGTATCCAGAAGGGCTTTCTCAAGGAACGTGCTGTGGATGCAGTGTGGCACTTCTCCTCGCGTTCCTCCATGGTGTCTTTGGTAAAATCTACATGGGTCATTAATGTAGACTTGGAGGAGCTGGAGCCACAGCACAGGGAATGAACCCAGTGTTTAAAACAAAGAAATGTTGAATCTTTGTTATTAGAAAATCAATTTCTCTATGCTCTCACTAAATAAAGATAAATATTTAAAGACTATCAACTTGAGGGAGCACCTGGTCGTCCTCCTGCCTGGGGCACTGATATCTCTGGTAAAATAACCTAGTCAGGCAGCAGCCATTGGCACGGTGGGGATTCACCCAGCCCATGATTTCTTTTACCACATACCACCTCCTGTGCGGTGGGAAAAATTCTGAACCCCGAGAGGGGAAACTTAGCTGTAAGCCTTAGCTCTGCTACTTATTAAGGCTTAAATTAATATAACTGGGTCTAAATTAGCCTCTTTGGACCCCATCTGTGAAATGTGAATAATCAAACCTTTTCGGTCTCTTCATAGGCTTTTTTTTTTTTTTTGCGGTACGCAGGCCTCCCACTGTTGTGGCCTCTCCCGTTGTGGAGCACAGGCTCCGGACGCGCAGGCTCAGCGGCCATGGCTCACAGGCCCAGCCGCTCCGCGGCATGTGGGATCTTCCCGGACCGGGGCACGAACCCGTGTCCCCTGCATCGGCAGGCGGACTCTCAACCACTGAGCCATCAGGGAAGCCCCATAGGTTAATTTTAAGGATCAAATAAGAAAACAAAGGAGAAAATATTTTGCAGACTACACAGATGACTGGGTCAACCAACCTCACAGAAATCCCTGAATAATCATGAGCATGCTTGGCCTGAATTAGAGGTCCTGGGTTCAGCATAAACTGATGACACCGAAGAGTATTAGTCACTTGGTAAATGGCAAAATGACCAGAATGCAAAACACACACACACACACACACACACACACACACACACACACGCCCCTCCGTACGAACAAATCCAAGAGATTAGGCCTCTTGTTTTGATAGTCAATATCAAAGTTTAGTCATGTGACTTCTTAATAGTTTAATATTTTCTTGTTGATTCGATTTGTTTCCTGGGACTAGAGTGGGAAGAAAAAAGTTAGGATTCGATAGAGTGCCTAGCTAGAAGTCCATTGGGTGGTATCCTTTCTCCTAATAATTTTGAAAATTCTGGAAGTCAATTTGGGTATTTTGAATGGCAAGTGCTACAGTGAATGTCTGCTTGGTTTATTGCATGTTTAAGGTGTGAAGGCTCTGAATTTGGTGTCCCTAGTGGTGACAAGAGATCCTTAGTAGACCCAATGTAATCTCTCTTGACCTTAAGGGCCATGGCCTAACCTTTTCCTTTCTATGTTAGAAGATTTTCCAGGTATACAAAATACAAGTACCTTCCTAAATCTAGTTTTTATTCCTCAATATAAAGGAGAGAAGTGAGTGCCACCATGAATTTATCTTGGGGTTTTTCCCGTTCAACGTCACTTTCTTTTTCTCAGACATGAGAATCTATTGAGCCAAACTAATAACTAGTTAACATTTCTCTTCCTTGATCAACCAATAAAATAAAAGCGATTAAGCAGTAAGAAGCATGGAGAAACTTCATGCAACACTGCAGGTTTTTAAAGTTCTCTCTTAGGGAGCCTTACCCTTACAGCTCAGGAGATGTTAGTGCCAGGAAAATCTACATTTATAATTCCCTTAGGCATATATTCCTAAACAGACAATTTCAGTTTCTGGAAAAATTGTGCTTGTCCTAAAACATACAAAAGATAAATGAATCAGCTTGTGGTCCCAGTCCTGGGGACTGTGTTTGTCATAAGGAAGGATTTATATTTCACTGTCTTCAGCTTCAGTTACAGTTTACATCGGAAACTTCAACTTCCATGCCTAGCATATTTTGTGAAATTTTCACTAACCTCCTAATTGAGACAAGGCTGAGCTATCAATTGTCAATTTGGATGTCTTTTAAGGACTAGAAGATAATCATCAACCTGTTCCCAAAGCAGTGCAACACAAGCCTTGGAGAACACGCTCTGGGAGGTCTGGGACAGGGTTTCCTCCTCTTCTATCTCCCACAGGCCTGATACAGAGCTGAAAAATATATGATGGCAATAAATGCTAAATTAAATTGAATCAAGATTGCCAGAGGAGATTAGATCCAAGAGAAAAGTCAAAGCGACAAATGAGAAGCAGGGTATTAGAGAAATAAGGAAGACAGAAACCAAACCACTCCCTCAATAGGAGACACAAAGGGTACCAATCAAAAGTCACTCCTATTGAGCCCATGTGGACAAGTTCCTTTTCGCATTCATCTCCCTACCTCTCTGTTCTTCCATTGATACTGTTGACCTCGATCAACTACGAAAATCCAAACCATCCTCTAAGACCTCCCTCCAAATCACCTCACCTGGGAAGCCTTTCTTGATCTCCCCAGTAAGTTGCATCCTTCCTTGCAGAGCTTGGACCCACTTAGCAGTCTGTCCTTGACTTTGTTTTAGCACTTATCTCCTTGTATGTTTGTGGTGTGTTCACATTTCTGTCCCTTCCCTCCTCAACCCAGACTATAACCTTCTTGAAGATGCTACATTGCTTTTCCTGTTATCTATGACTGTCATCTCTGTATCCAGTCCCTAACTCAGTCCTTGGCCCACAGGAAGTGCTCAGTAAATGTTTAGATAACAATGCTCAGTGTAGATTTCATTTGTGGTTTCCATTGGAGGCCTTAAAAAAAAAAAAAAAAAGCTTCTTGAATGCCCGCTTGAACCACAGGAAAGCTAAGGCTATTTCTCAACAGGCAAGAAGAGAAAGCACATTAGACACAGAAGGAGCACCTTAGATAAACATCATTCGTACCTAAATGTGTAAGCCACCCCCTGAAACCAGTTCACATTCCTCTAGAATGGAGGAGATCAATAGACCTTCATGATAAGAAAGTTCTTTCAAAAGAGCCG